TTGAGCAACCTGGATGTTTTTTCACATTTGGGTGACTAATGTTCAAATACACCTATCAAAGAAATTTCGGCTTGGTTCGTGCGCAAAGATAAGTTCGACACCTATGATTAGTACTGTATTTGCCGACAAATGCATAGAATGCGCATAATTCCCCATAGGCGTAGGAAAAGGCATTATACAACCTGAAAGTTTTCGCATATTTGGGTGGCTCATGTTCAAATACACCTATCAAAGCAAAATCGGCTTGGTTCGTGCGAAAAGAATGTCAGAATCAACAGTGCAGGAAATGACTAGAAGCGAGGCAATACAGGTTTGTATAGGCTAACCCTAATTGGGGTTGTACCCCGTACTGAGTAACCCACTATAGCCTAGCAAGTAGAATGCATTTTCACACACCCACATAGGCTAAGTGGGGGACAATCAGATGGTCACAAGACCAGTCAAGCAAGAGAACAAGCAAAGCAAAGCTCAGGGTGGATCTCAAGGGCACCACACAATCTGAGCACAGGCAAGCGGTCACAAGGCCAGTTCACATGCAGAGGTATAATAACAAGGCAGTCTACTGATTACAACCTAGCAAGAGTAAATATGCAGGTATAAAGATATATATCAGTGTACAACAAGTGCAAGTCAAGCAACCAGCAGGTGAGGCAGAGTGAGCACAAGCCCAAGAGTAGTGCAGAAACGCTGATGATCACTAGGCAGAAGGGCCTTGGTGAACACATCAGCAGTGTTGGCCCGCGAGGCCACGTAGGAAAGGCGGAGCTGACGACGCTACTGCAGCTCACGTGCAAGGAAGTAGCGAAGAGCAATGTGCTTCGTTCTGTGCTCCAGTCTTTGCTCGCGACACAAGGCAAGCATTGCTTTGTTGTCGACGTACAGAACTGGAGGAGAACGAGGCTGCTCCCCCAAGTCGGTCAGCAGGTAGGTCAGCCAGCGTAACTCCTATGCAGCCATGGCCTCAGCGTAGATCTCGGCCTCACAGCTGGAACCAAGCACCGAAGTCGAGCGAGTGGACCTCCACGAGACAGAACCAGAGCCAAGTCTGAAGGTGTACCCCTGTGACAAACGCTGAGTCGCCTGGTCGTCGGCCCAAGAAGCATCGGAGTATCCTGTGAGTACCACTGAACCCCGTCCTCCAAGCACGAGCCCCATGCCCGACGTACTACACAAGTAACGCAATACCCTCTTCGTAGCATCCCAGTGCACCTTTCGGTGTCTAACCAGAGCCACATAGCAAGCCAGGAGGCTGAGAGAATACATGAGGTCAGGTCGTGTGCACGTCATCAGGTACATGAGGCAACCCACAAGCTCTGGGTACGGACCACTCGGCTCTACGGACTCGTCCGAATGTGGAGTTGAGAGCGAGTGGCCTGTAGACACAGGAGAGGGCTGTGGTGAGGAGATGGTGAAGTTGAAGCGCTGAAGGACCTGCTGCACCATGTGTGACTGAGTCAACGTGATGGTGCGCCATGCTCTCTCCCGGGTGATCTGCAAGGCAAGATAGCTCCGCAGTTCACCCAGGTGAGTGCAAGTGTGTCTCTTCTGCAGCTCAGACTTCACACGGGCTAGTGCCTCAGTGTCAACAGTAGCAAAGACCAAGTCGTCAACGTACACGAGGATGTAGAACGCGGGAAGAGTAGTGTCAGTGTGCAGAAACAGTGACGGGTCAGTTGTTGAGGGAGCAAAACCAAGAGCCGCAAGTGTCGTCCTCAGTGTGTCGTGCCACTCGCGGGGTGCCTGACGCTGGCCGTACACTGGTCGTCGTAGGCTCCACTGGGTACCCGCAGGAAACGACCCAGTGAAGCCCTCTGGATGACGCAGCCAGATGCCCTCGTGAAGGCTACCTTGCAAGAAAGCTATCGAGAATTCGAAGGAGTGCAGCTCGTAGTCGCGCTGTGCTGCAACGTGTAGCAACACCTGAAGAGTAGTCATCTTCGAGGTGGGGGACAAGGTCTGAAAGAAGTCAACCTCCTTACGCTGACTGAAGCCTCGAGCAACGTAACGTGCCTTGAAGGTAGGCGGAGAACCCGGCGGCCGCTTCACCCTGAAAATCCACATGCCACTGACGATGTTCGCCCCCGAAGGGGAAACCTTGTCGACGTAGGTGCCTGTAGACTACCAGGAAGCCATCTATGCGTCCATGGCTGTTTGCCACTGAGAGGAGTACTCACCCGAGATCGCCTCTCTTTAAGAGCGCCG